GAAAATTACTTCATAAAACTCATAAGAGATGAACAATAATACAAGGTAATACTTATCAACTATGTAACCAATATGAATTTCTTCAATTCTTATTGTAATATCTTATACCTTAAATTAAAAATTGTTTATAGTTCAAAATTCATTTAAAAATGTGATGATACTACTGCATCAACATTAACATTGTTTGACAAAGATCCTTAAAACAAAGGCAATTTAGTTGTTAGAAAATTACTCTACTAATGAGATACCCTCAATTATACAATACTTTATACTCGCAAACTTATTATGAAATAAAGCTCTCATATAACAACTTAAAAGAGGGGTCTCACTTTACACGATCAGTTGTGTATTTATATCAAACATCATATTTCATCATTTTAATCTCCACAGAGAAATTAAATATGTATGGTGTTTTAAAACTAAAATAAAATATTTTTTCTAAAAAATAATTATTCTTCACAAACACAACCACTCACTTTATTTATTTTTTGGTGACCTGAAATCCAATTCATAACAACCCAATTTACCACAACTAATATCATCTACAATATCTTCTTTTCAAGATGATTAAGACAACAACCTCATCAAATAAAAGAAATACTGCAATGTAGTGCAAGACATTACATCATCCAACAATGATGGTATATTTATTCAAAGAAGGCAAGAGGAATGCCAGAGTGTCTTTACATAAATAAAATGTTGTCAACATTTGTTTGTAGTGTCTTTTTTAAATAAAAAAATTTAAATTTAATAAATTTCATCATCTATCACGATAAATTGAATTATATCTTCACTATAAAATAATAAAAAGTAAAAAAAGAATACAACTCGCACAAGGCGCTGTTACAATCTAATATAATAAAACATTAAATAAATTAGACCATTAGTTGATACCGGAATCAATAAAATGGAAGAGACTAAAGCATGAGCAACAAACCAAAATTCTCATACCAGAAAATATAGTGGCCACATTAAATTTAAAAAAATGAGGTATGAAAATTAAAAAACAATATATTGATTCAATAAAACTCTTCCTTAATCAGCAAGCACATAGTTATCTTTATTTTATAAAATTCTACAAAGAGTGTTTAATCCAATAATACAAAACAACATTGTTACATACCCAAGAAAAGAGTAAGTGGAGATGAAGATGGACATGAAATTGAGTTTGGTCTTGACCACTAAGATCAATCGTTGTTTTTCAAATTTTGCTCTATAGTATTGCCAATTTCCCAAGTTAACTAGACAAACTATATAAAAGCATATAATAGGGGATTAGTATAAAAGTTTTGCAGAGGGAGGCGAAGGGAGGAGAGTTAAGTGATCTTTAGGGTCCATTTAGAATTTATTTGGTTCAATCGAGGGAATGAGAGGTAAGTGATTTTTATCAACGGAGAAGGAAGGGAGGAGAATGATGTTAATTATATATATGTTTAATTCAAAATCTAAAAGAGGAGAGAGGAGAGGAATTTTAATTACAAATATGTTTGATTCACGAGGGGAGGGTGTAGCACCCGATTGTATTTGTGTTTATATGTTGATTGCGTTCGTTTTTGTTTCGTTGCGATTATGATGTTGTGACTGTTGGTATTTCTAATAATCAATCTTTATTAATCCATACTCAATTCAAGATGAAATAGAAAACAAAAACGTACCTTTAGGAACTATGAAATGTTAAGGAGAAAACAATCATTTTGATAGGATAATGACCTTCCAATTGTAGGTTTCTTAATTTTTTAGTTTCTCTTCCAATGGGATAAAGAGAATAAATATTCTATGATATTTTCTATTGTCTACAATTGGGGATCATAACCCCTTATTTATAAGAATTTTATGTCCTTTCAAGTGATTATTCATGTTTTCTTATTCCAACTTTACCCATAAAAAATAGAAATAAGATTTTTGGTATCTACACGATATTTTTCATTATAATTATATCCTTAATTATAAACCTTATACTAAATAGATGATTTTAATTTGACTAATTAAATAATGGCTCTAACACATTAATGTATTACATGTATGACCAAAAAAAATAAAATTCTAACAATTTCTCACTGGTCACATATGTATCCTTATAAATGTGTTAGACTTTATGAGCTCAAAATTTTTCATTATAAACATTGGACATGTCCTCATCTCGTCCATTATTTGTCTCAATATATAAGACCAACGCAGTTTTCATTATATCAATCATAATTAAACCCCTCAATGACCTCAAATATAAATACAACTAAATGACATAGATTAAAATCATGAAATATTTAGCATGAAAATCACATGAAAGTGATCAATAAATGTCAATTTTCAACTGATTCTCTTTACTTTAATGAAATTAATATTATCATACAAAGTGCAATGAACTGAATAATCAAACTTTATTTCTGATTAGAACATAATATAAATATATAAGTATGTATATATACCATCAAACATAGAACATAACTCATAACATTGACTAACTCTCACTAAACCAAAGAATCCTCATATTATATAACACATATGTGAATAATGCCCTCACACCTTAGGTAGAAGCCTTTATATCATATGGTCTACTACCATGGAATTTGTCTCTAAATGTTCTATAGAAATCTATCCACTCGGTACTCTCTCCTTCACAACCAGGTCCTACTTCTCATTACTTTTCCTTTTCTCAGAGATAGTAGAGTTTGTAGGAGTGACGGCTTCATCCTCAATGTAAGTCAAAATCCATGCAACTAAGAATAATTAAAATATTCTCCTTCTAGTCCTTAAAGTTTGCACCATTAAAAATGGAATTGATGACTTGAAATCAATCATAAATAAACTCAAATAATATATCTTCAAATAATGTCATAATTTATCTCAAGATATCTAGTGTACCATCAATATCAAGTCTTTGGACAATAATATTAATTGTTAGTGATACTTTTGTTTTACAATCCAACATTGATAATAAAACATGTCAAATAATAAATTTCTCTTTAGATTGATTTAATATTTACATGTGAAACCTTAAAATTATCATATATTTATCATTTAAAATGTGTGTATATAATCATATCAAATATCAATTTTTCTTTGGACCAACTAATACTCACGTAGAAACATATGCACGTTAATATTTAACATTTCTTAGAAGTAACCCAAAAAATTTTTTTGTCACTTTGGTGACTATTTATTTTAATTATCTCATTTAAAATATTAAATAATTATATACTTTACAAATCATGGACAAAATTTGGACATAAAAGAGAAAAAAAAATTGGAAGGACGCATGGCTTTGCAAACCAGTACAAGCCAACACGTGGTCTTCCGTCTCAGTGAACCAAATGCATCAGAGATCCTATTTTCAATTTGCATTGCAATTGTCTTTAGGGTGTGTTTATTATTTAGAATTATATTCTTGGGATTATTAATTTTAGGAATAATATTCTCACTTATGTGATTGGACAACATTTAAAATTCTTAAAAATATTTATAAATTATTTTAATTTAAAAATTATAAAAATAAATATAATGAGTAGAAGTGGAAAATTATAGATAGTTAAATTTATTCCCATAAGAATCTTGAATTCCTATAATTTATGTTCTAGAATAAGAATAAAAAAACTATATATAAATAATATATCTTGAAATAAAAAGTTTCTTGAAATAATTTTGTAAAACTTGAATCAAACATGAGAATATTATATTCTCATAGTCATATTCCCAAGAATATGTGTTGTAAACTTGAAACAAACACACCCTTAATTGTACGATGTTGTGATTATTATGAGTGATGATTAACCAGAATTGAATAAATACATGTTTTTAATTTAATTAAACCCAAAACAAGAATAAATGAATTTGTGTGAATCAATCAAACATAAAAACAGATGTGATGATTTAATTAAAGGCTGGATTTGCAAAATTAATTGAAACAAAATTGGAATACATTAAAGCAATTCAATTCATGGTTTGCATATCATCCATATTCATTTAAAAACAAACAAAATAACGAAGCATCATCCATATTCATTCATGATTGCATATACATTATATATAATAATTTATTCTATTCAAACTCAATTTACTTGATTTATATTCATAAAATACTGAAAATTGTGTGATGAGTTATGATTTTCATAATACAATTTTAAAACTCTAATATCAATAATTACTAAAATTCACAAATGAATAAGTATAAGTGGCTTTGATACCACTTGTTGGTATTTCTAATAATCAATATTTATTAATTCATATTAAATTCAAAATGAAATAGAAAATAGAAGCCTACATTTAGATCCATGGAGAATCAAATATATTTAGGCTCTTACACACATCTAATTTCAGGAGATTCTTACTTAATTTTTCAATACTTGCAAATTAAAAAATATGAAAACATATAAAATCAAATATAAATAATAAAACGATGATTTCATTCCACATTTCCACTTGCATTTCTCTTAACTACTTCAGTCAAATAACTTTTAACATTAAAACATATCACCATTAATTACCATATAAAAATTAAAAATCACTACATAGAAAAAAAGAAAAATACAACGTTTCCAACACTGATGTAGTGTCATGCTACCAAATTTTCCATCTTCATTATCACTGAACAGCTAGAACTTCCTGCATATTGGCAACGAGATACTCCTAACATGAATGCCATTGTTATAAGCACTGTAAATATAAAGAAATTATAATCAGTTTAAACATTAAGATTAAAAACAAGTTTGTATTCGTTTATTCAAAATTATCTCAAGACATAAATTTTGTAACACTATTTGAGAGATTTTATCAAAACAGTTTATGACAATATTTATAAATGTTTTTAAAATTTATTTTTATAAATTTTTTGAGATAGCTAGAATAATATACAACATATTAAAAAATTATTTAAATTTATTTTATATCTTACAATAAAAAATAGCTTATACAAACTTACAGTTCAAAATCTTTTATTTGTAATCATTGCTTATCAAAATCATATTTCATTTTAGACACAGAGAGTTTCATAGTTACCGTAAATATTATAATCTAGTAGTATTGCACGTATGTCCATGTTTCCAATCTTTACCACACTTGTAGCAGAAGTTACAACCACACCTGAAAAAATTTTAGAGTCATCGTAAGTAAATTTTCATTGACATAGTGTCATAACAATGAAGTATACAGATTTAATTAAAATTAGTTAAAATGATTATGGATGAATAAAAGAAGGTAATAAGATCTACAACCTGCATGATATGTGTTCACATCCACCAGTTCTCTGAACATGTATAGAACATTTGGGACATTTCTGCCACTTTTTTCTTTTAGCTAACTCATAAAATTTCTCATCCAATTGTTTTTCATTATCCCGACCAGTTTTCGACTTCTGAAATCTCCGGCAACTCATGTCTGCATGCCATGGAACCTTACATTGTGCACAGAATAGTCTATGACAAGAAGGACATTCACAACTTGTAACAACATCAACTCCATCATTCACCAACAAAAGAGAACAATTCTTGTAAGGGCAGTAAAATCTTTTCCTCAAAGAAATTGAAGACTCGCAAATTGCAGATTCCCATTCAACAATGACTTGCTTAGGTAAAATGGATTGCAAATGTTGTGGTTTCAGTTCCACAGAACATTCTGGATTTGGACAACATACTTTAACCGCATTTTTGTTTATTTGAACATTCACGTACTTGGATATGCAGTTAGTACAAAATGGATGGTTGCATGAAGTGTTTGTGAAGATATTAGAGAATGTTAAGGAATCGAAGCATATACCGCAGTTGAATCTTTTTGAAGATTGACCTTGAGATTTTCTCCTCATTGTAATTTGAATTCCTTTTGCATGACTATTTGTTGAAATAGAAGTACGAGACCGATTCATGGGAAGGAATTTGTTTTTGTTTGATTTGTGTAAACTCAAAAGGTTTTGGGTTGGAAGAAATATAATATCCAAAAAATACTTCCTACATTTATATTTCTTCATAACGGTTCCTACTATTTATAATTAGTGAAAACCATTTCAAGTACTCGCAATTCCCCACTAACACATTAACTACCCACTAAAACATTTATGTCAATTATTTTTTAAAATGTTTTTAATAATAAATTAATATTACCCACTACTTTATCCCACTCAATTCTTCACGTAACTACATAATTTTTTAAAATTTTAAACCCACTAATAATAACTTCTTCCACTATCAATTTCTCCTAAATAAATGTGTATTATAACTTCTTAAATTGTCTTTAATAGTACATGTTAAATCAATTGAACCAAATCACAATATGTATGCAATCCTTTCTATTCTATGATTCTTTCTCTTTTTATAGTGAAATTGCATATATAGAATTAACATAGTTTACTGAATTATTTAATTGTCAATACATTTTTAGCATTTTGTTTTTGAGAAAAAGAATGGTGATCTGACAGAGTAAAATATTTTTATACTGTTAATTAATGATTGCCATATAAAATGTCAAGTTACACAGTAAATTTTAAATTACTTTTATGATTTGACATTTTAAAATATTCTGATTGAATGTATCTGTAATATATTTTTTCACCACATCTATTAAACTCTTTGTTTTTACGGCTATTACCATGTCACGAGAATGGAGAAATTGCACATAAACATTCAATTTGGGTAAAGTGAAAAGGTTTTGGGTTGGAAGTTGTTGCCTTTGGATATCACGATGGATCAATAATTATTGGTTTTAAACTTTCAACTTTGAATGTCTCTAGACTCTTCTTTTATTATTCCCTATACTTATTTAATGCACGCATTTTTTTATCTTCACTTTCGTAACTGTCCAAAAACCATACTAAAGATCAAAGGTCAATTTTCCAAACGTTTGAAGTAACTTAACAATTTAATCTTAGATTAAATATAACACGTGTGGTGTATGTGGTTTTTAAGGACACGTTTAATTATGGCTTTAATTGGTATCTAAAGATATTTTATGCTTTGAGATAGTAGTAACTCTCATATATTAAATTACGTTTACACGGATCTCATATACTAGAGTCTAAGTATGGGGATTTGGTCGAGAAGCGGGATGTTTGACAGACTTAAGTTGATATGGTGGAGAGATATCCAATCTGTTGATATAGGGGAGGGAGGTTTCAAAGGTCATTGGTTTGAGGAAAATGTCGCTAGAGAAATTAGAGATGAAGTGCATACTAGGTTTTGGGTCGATCCTTGGGTCGAAGGGAGAAGTTTAAAGAAAGGATACCCCGGTTTGTATAGCTTGGTTTTTATTACATGATGCAAATAATTCAGTTTAGTTAACTTTGGTGATTTGTTACTTAACAGTATATATAGTACTGTCTTGTACATTCTAAAAGCAGAATAATATAATGAGCTTATTCCAAAATTAACATGGTATCAGTTTGAATATTCCTTTCCGCGCCTCCCTTTTCTTTCCTTTCATCTTCTTCGCGCCTTCTCCTTCTTCTTCGCGTCTTCGCCTCTTCCTTTTCCTTTGAATGCTTCAGCATTGACTATGGCGCTTCCTTACTCCGATTTTGCTACAAACCCTTCCAATCCTTATTATATGCATCCTAACGAAAATCCCTCTCTTGTTCTTGTTCAACCTGTTCTTGATACCAAGAACTACCAAATCTGGTCTAGATCGATGAAAGTGGCTCTTATCTCCAAGAACAAGATCAAGTTCGTTGATGGCACTCTTTCTCCTCCGCCTATCTCCGACTCTCTATACGAACCTTGGTTGTGATGCAACAATCTCGTCCTCTCATGGCTTCAACGTTCGATTTATGAGGAAATTGTAAAATCTCTTCTCTGGTATGATCGTGCTTCTCTTGTATGGAAAAGTTTGGAAAATCGTTTTTCTCAGGGAGACATTTTTCGCATTGCTGACATTCAAGAAACTGTTGCTCGTCTTCAACAAGGAACTCTCAATATCTCTTCGTTCTTCACGAAATTGATGACGCTTTGGGAAGAAATCGAGAATTTCCGGCCAATTCGTGATTGTACTTGCGCTATATCGTGCTCCTGTGGTGCTGCTTCAGACTTACGCAAATTCAAAGAACAAGATAAAGTTATCAAGTTCTTGAAGGGCCTTGGTGACCAATACGCTCATGTTCGCTCGCAGATTATGTTGATGACCCCACTACCAACTCGATAATGTGTTTAATCTGGTTCTTCAACAAGAACGTCAATTCAACCTTCTTTCACCTTCTGCTTCTTCAATTGAGTCTCAATCATCTGTGAATCACCTTTCTCAAGCACCTTCTCGTTCTTCTCACAACCCTGGTCGTGGTCGTGGCCGTGGTGGCCGTGGAAACCGACTCTGTACTCATTGCAACCGCACCAATCACACCATTGAGACTTGTTTCATGAAACATGGCTATCCCTCTGGATTTCAACAACGCAAGCCTACTACATCTGTGGGGAATTCTGTTGATTCTACAGTGAACTCGATTCAAGATGCTGCTTCTCCTCAACTTGAGGCATTATCTTCCTTTGCTTCCACATCAAACACCAGTCCAAGTGCTTTGTCTACAATTCAAGAGCAATACACTCAGATTCTGCAGCTCCTCCAACAGTCTAATTTGCAATCTCCTTCACCTTCCTCGATTAATTCAGTTTATGCTGCTAATTCAGTGTTCTATACCTCTCCTCATACTTCCTCTGGTAAGAATTCCTCAAATCTTCCTTGTCATAACTGGTGGATCATTGACACAGGTGTCACTGATCACATCACCCATATCTTTGCCAGTTTCCTTTCCACATACCACATTGCACCTAAATCTATGACAATGCCTAATGGTGACTCTGTCACTACAACTATTGCTGGTTCAATTTTACTATGTGATTCACTTGTCCTTCATAATGTTTATTACTTTCCTTCATTTCATGTCAATATTATCTCTGTCACCACTCTTTTTGACTCCAATTTATATGATGTGAAATTTTCCCCTAATTGCTGTCAAATTATGCAGTTGTCCCAATCCAAGATGACTGGATTTACAGCTAGGAGGATTGGCAAATTGTATGTTCTTGATGTCACCCCACCTAAGGCCATCTCTCCCACATCTGGCTCTGTCAACACCTCCTCTTCTCCCCAATTAGAACCTGCTAAACACGATCCTGCTACTATTTGGCATCTTAGGCTTGGACACTTAAGTCCTTACATACACAAATGTATTTCCTCTCAATTTCCTTTTGTCACCTACAATGACAATCATAAGCCCTGTAATACTTGCCATTTGGCTAAGCAAAAACATTTGTCATTTGCTCACAGTAATACTAAGTCTGTTGCCATCTTTGATTTACTTCATGTTGATATTTGGGGCCCTCTTTCCACACCTTCCATACGTGGCCACAAGTATTTTTTAACCCTCGTAGACGATTACAACAGGTTTACTTGGACAATTTTTATGGCCAACAAAAGTGAAACCAGAAACCATTTAATTCACTTCATATCTTTTATCGAAACTCAATTTAACAAGAAACTCAAGTGCATTCGTAGTGATAATGGTCCTGAGTTTCTCATGACCACTTTCTACCTTTCTAAAGGAATCATTCATCAAAGGTCTTGTGTGGAAACGCCTCAACATAACAGTATCGTGGAAAGAAAGCATCAGCACATTTTGAATGTTTCCCGTGCCCTCTCTTTCCACTCTCACCTCCCTCACAACCTTTGGCACCTTTCCATACAACAGGCCATTCATATTATAAATTGTCTTCCCACTCCTCTTTTAAACAACCACTCTCCCTACCAAAAACTCCATTCTACTCCTCCCAGCCTTAACCATATGAGAGTCTTTGGTTGTCTTGCCTATTCTTCCACCTTGCTTAACCATCGCACTAAATTTGAACTAAGAGCAAGGAAATCTATTTTTCTTGGCTACAGGGAAGGCACAAAAGGCTACCTTCTCTATGATCCTATCACACATGAATTTTACATTTCAAGGAATGTATTCTTTTATGAAACTGTGTTCCCTTTTGCATCCATCCCACCTGCACCTAATCCTATAATTCCTACTCCTGACCCTCCTCCCCTTGATTCACCTGATATTTTCACCAACATTCCACCCATCTCACCTCCACCATCAAATGAACCTTCCTCTCCTACCTCTCTCCCCCAGCCAGATTCTCCCACTAACCTCTCTTCTTCCTCAAATGACACTAACAACTCCCCTTGCCCCTCCCCTCATGTGCCAACCAGAAAATCCAATCGAAATATTAAACCTCCAGCTTATCTATTTGATTATCACTACAATTTGCTATCCCCCATGCTGCCAACATCTGACTCAGATTCCTCTAACTACCCTCTCTCTTCTGTATTATCTTATAGCCAATGTAGTCCTGATCACAAATTATTTTATCTGTCCATAAGCTCTTTCACAGAACCCAAAACCTATAAACAAGCCTGCAAGTTTGATTGTTAGAACAATGCTATGAAATCTGAGTTAGATGCTCTTGAATTTACAAATACTTGGTCTGTTGTTGATTTGCCTGCAGGTAAACAATCGATTGGTTACAAATGGGTCTACAAAATCAAGCATCATGCTGATGGATCCATCGAACGATACAAGGCCCGTTTGGTAGCAAAAGGATATACTCAGTTGGAGGGTGTGGATTATTTTGACACTTTCTCACCTGTTGTGAAGCTTACTTCTATTCGAACCCTTCTCTCAGTGGCTGCCATTAAGAATTGGCACTTGGAACAACTCGACGTCAACAATGCCTTCCTTCACGGTGATCTACATGAGGAAGTGTATATGGATCTGCCTCCTGGATTCCTGCCCCCTGCCTCTTCGACCAACAAAGTTTGCAAATTGCATAAGTCATTATATGGCCTGAAGCAGGCTAGCAGACAGTGGTTTTCGAAATTGTCCACTGCCCTTATCTCTCT